GAAAATTTGTTCCACCAGCTTCAAGACCAGTGTGACAATGAATTTGGGCAAATGTTTTTGCTTGTGTATTTTCCCTGGTCCATTGCACTTTTCTCTACTCCCATTTCTCTGTCTACTCTACTCCTGATAACTGTCTCGAACATAGATGCATGTGTGCATGAGTTTTAAAGATCCGAGCACAGTGGTATCTTTTTGAGATCACTGAGTGCTCCTAGAAAAGGAATATATTAGAACACAATATTTTAAAATGGCATGTGACCCTTCCTGGAATATAGCCATTTGAAAAAAATTAAAATCATTTAATGATTTAAGATCATTCTCTTCCTAAGGAATGATATTTTTAATTCTTCTTCTTCACAGATGAAATCATGATCATAAATAAAACCCAGAAAACATGGTGATTATGAGAGATTTTCCAGAGATTTTCAGGGTAAAATGTGTACCTCTGCAACACTATTTTGTACTCACTTTATGAAGCCAACTTCAAGGAAAAGAAGCAGCCTCATGGGGTTGCTAGTGGTTTTTGTGTAAAGCTGAATCCTTATTGGAAATGTTTAAGAAAAGAACTATGAAAAATGAATGCTATGGTAATAAATGTTTTGTTTGTTCATACTTGTGGTTAATGGAGGAGATGCATGCTGTAGTATTAATGTTGGGAAGTTCTATCTAACATTTTAGCAACAAACCTAATAACTTTAGTTGACCAGGATCTTAAAAGGGCCTGAATTTCACTAGGTACTGAAAACCCAATTTCTGATCCTTTAAGGGATCTCAAGTTGGGTACTGAAAAGCTGAAAAGCACCTTTGGGAAACTGTCCAAGACAGAATACATATCTGATTCCAGGGGTCTTGAACTTGCTCCCAGGAGCAAACAGAATAGTAAAAATAGTAATGATGATAAATAAAAGTATGCTTCTATACATAATATAGTTCAGATGTTAAAAAAAAAAAAAACCTCCTATAAAGATTAGGTACAAAAGCAGGCATCAAAAGGAAAAAAAAATATCTCATTACATAAAGCATCCAAAAGCTGTTTAAAACTTTTGTAAACTGCAGAAACATAGAATATAAGTATGACTCTAGTATTTTAAAATTGCTCTGAATGCTGAATGTTCAAACTCCAAAATTGCTTTTAATGAAATCTCTGTTCCCACTCTACTACAAAAGATGCTATATGACGACAATTGCCTACCTCTTCCATTTCAGATGCAAAGTTGTTCTAGGTTATTCATTCTTTGTTCAGCTTCCTGTATACAAAAGTGAAGTTTATTTTGAATGAAAGAAAAAAAAATACATTTCATTTTTATATATGCTCCACGACAGTCAAAAACACATAGATCCTGTTTTTTCTGCTTTGACAAGAATCTGTTTACCATCGTATAGGATTAGAGGCCAGCAGGAAGCTGTACTGATTTCTAGGTGGATCTATACCCATCAGAAAGCTGGCCTGGCTGAGTAACCCGGGGGCTATTCTTATTTTTACTAGCATGCACAGGTCTTGAAAAAACTGGGCATTGAGCATACTGCACCCCAGCCACACTGCCTTTCCATACAAACAAGCTCACCATGACAGATCCAACTGTGGTTGTGACATTGTACCAGCTGAAATTCGCTCTAGCTGTATCCACTGGGACATTGTACAGTTTAATTGAACAAATCTGTCTAAATGAATATACAACAAATCAAGGGGACGTGATGATTGGAAATATTAGCAAATTTGAATGCGCACCATGCTTACTGGCATTGTTCCAAATTGGTTGGAGAAGTTGATTTAAGGAAACAAATGTGAAATTTTCAAGCATCTGTTTCGACTGATGACAGATGATGCCAATGAAATGAGCAAAAAACTGAAAGAATTGTGTAAAAAGCTAAGGAAGATAGATTTAAATACCTGGAATATGGGTATAATAATAAGTTTAAATATCATATATATCATGTTCTTGTATAGAAATACAGTGCTTGATTATCTGACCTGGCTGTGTTCAGTAGAAGTGGACTAGGATGGAAAGCAGACCTTACAGCAAAAGTGAAGTTTCCATGAAGTAAGCTGGTCTCTACCATAAGCTAGGGTAACTTCGGAGGTGCTCTAATTTACTCCCACCAACTTTCACTTCTTATGTTGGATGCTGCATAGGAAGAGTGGGTAGAAATGCTTCAATGTGTCTATATTGCACAAGGCATCTTTGTATGTAAGGGAATGTTCATAAGGTCATCTCAAACTCATGTTGGCAAAACCATTGAAAGGCCATGGAGGCATACCAAAGTGAAGCTTGTCTTTGTTTCTGTAAGCACTCGTATTCAGCTGTCACCACTCCGGGGATAATTTTTCTCAGCCCTTTTTTTGGGACACAAGTGAAACCACCTCTGCAAGATAGTAAAAGCAAAAACATATGAAATATAAATACTAACAAGTGAACTAACCAATATATTAAGTACTGGCTGTAAAGGACAATTAACAATAAGAAATTAAATGATCTTAGTCTGAGGTCCAGATGAGTGAGATGAGAAGGAAGGCAGGCACTGATATAGGTATCACAACTTTTCTTATCGCCAGTAACAGTGAAGACATCAATAGTGTGTGTAGGCCTGATACTACTAGAAAAGCCAAACTGCCCCCCTATTGCCAGCTTAGCTAACACCCTTAGATTTCTAGTAATACTTTTCAAAAGATCAAGACAACATAAACACGTACTTGTCTACTATCCATAAATAGTAGACTATCCCAGAGTTGCCTACTATCCATAAATTTATAGATAGTCCACAAAAAAACAGCCTAAAACACTTGCTTGTGATGTCTGTAACACAATTCGTCGTCTCTAAAACCAAAGAAGTCCTGAACTCAATTTCAAGATCTATCATCAGAATGAAGCTAGATACAATTGTTGATGGGCAGAGAGTTGAATCCCTGCAGTGAATTACCTGGCCCATGGAGGTTTCTGTAGCTCTTTTTCCCCTCCTGCTCTAGCCAAGTGCTGCTGCTGCATATCCTGGCCATCAAGTGCCTGTAAGACTGTTCAATAGTCACCCCAAAGGTACGCAAGGCTGTGCAGTCCTGGGCCAGTCAGTATATCCAGAACACAGCTGAAGGGCCAGGAGTGTGGTGAAGTACTGGGTTAGGGTCCATGCTGGGACAATGGTGTTGTGGCTGGTGGGGTAAGGTTGAAGGTGGGCTGCAGGCAGTATGGTATGGGATACATCCATGGGCATCATATTGTGGGATAAGTAGGTACATCGAAGTACAGCTGGGCCAGCATAAGCAATTACATTACAGCAAAATCAAGTAAAAAAAAACCCAGGACATGAACATGCTCTCCAGTGTTCATGCTGGGTCCCTAAAAAGGGGGCGATGCAAAGGCTATGCAGTAATACATGCAAGAGTTTAGCAGGACAATATGCAGTATGGTAAAAAAGAAAGTAAAAGAAATGTCACCTAGTGGCTGTACGAACTATGCTGGAATGAATGGGTGCCTGTAGACATCCAGGGACACATCTCCAAAGCACTGTAATTACAACGTGTCAGAGCAGACTCGATTAATCAAGTGTGCTGGAGTCGAGTGTACTAAGTAGTGCTCTTCAGCAGCCTCCATGTCTTGTGTATTCAGTGTCCCTGAGCTCTAAAATGCCAGTGGGGGTGCTTTAACTAATGCTTGTCGAACAAGCTTCAGTTAAAGTGCTCTGCTGTTATTTTGAAGGGTGGGACACTGAATACATAAGATGCTGTGGGCACTTTAATTAGAGCAGCCTTCAGAGTCACTCTAATTAAAAGTGCCCTCCCCTCCTGCTCACCCACAGAGCACATGTATAGACACCCAGTCATTACAAACCTATGTTGAACTATGCTCTCGCAGCAGAATTTAAGCATGTGTCCAATGCTGCACTAATATTTACCTTGGAGTAGATGGCTGGAGCAGGCATGTAATACTTCATTGCAGGCACCCTTGTAATGGTCTTCTGACAGTATAGCCAAATCCCCTGAGATCTAAGATTGTGAGAAAAAGTTTTATTTTCACTTAATCTGTGCAATACAAAGACAGTAACTGTGGCAGCACTCTGTGGCAGTCCTTAACCGAACTAGCTGTCTCCACATGCCTGGTTGGATTTGGATGCCATGAGCACATAATTTGGACCATCAATAGAAAAGTTTTAAATACAAACCTGCCAGCATCTGAAAGTTTTGTAAGTTTCTTGTGAGTAATGTGCTTCAGAGAGATTGTTGTACAGGTTCACACTGGCAGCTTGAATGCAGAACAATTGGGGAAATGCTCCCTGCCACTCTCAACCACTTGACTTAAAAGTTTGGGTGTGTTCAATATTACATTTAATTTCCTCAGAATGCCATGTTGCATCAGAGAAGTTATAATTTAGATAGTAATGCCTTTTACAAAAACCCCAGGATTATATGTCCTATGATGCATCCATAGCCATATGACTTCTAGTGCAACAGGCAGCTCAGCTGGTTCATGTTGCAAAACAAAATTATTCGGGTCAGTTCAACCAAAACATTCCAATTGGGGTCAAATTTGTTCATCTGTGTTTCAACACATGACACCCCTGAAACTTAAATTTTATTCTTAGTTTTTAAATTTAATTTTTTTTTGTCTGACAAAAAAACCCCTGAAAACTTAATTTTTTTCCACAGAAACTTATGTCTTTTTGAAATGTACTTCCTATCAAATAGCCTTCCCATGGAAAATCCCTGATCAGCTTTACACTATAAAAAGCAGAAGGAATGTAATCATTTAGGATTCCTGTACACAGGTGGGGAGGCTGCTCTGATGCGCTACAATTACAGTGCATTGGAGCAGATTCAGTTAATCAATTGAGTCTGCTGGAGCATGTTAATTAGCATGCTCCAGCCAGCCTCCACATCTAGTATATCAGTGATCCTCTGCTTCAAAATGGTGGCAGGGTGCTTTAACTAAAGCTCATTTGACGAGCTTTAGTTGAAGCCCCCCCACCACCATTCTGAAGTGCAGGGATGCTGATACACGAGACACTTCAGGCACTTTAATTAGAGCCATTTGGAGCTGCTCTAATTAAAGCACCCCCTCCCTCCCTCCCTCCCTCCCACCACCCCTGGAGCATGTATACACATGCCCTTACTCTTCATTAAAAAAGGGACAGAAAAAGGAAAGAACCAGATGCTGGTCACATCACTTTATAGATAAGAACCTTTCACAAGTGTCTTCAGCAATGCCTCACAGTGAAGGTTGACTGTCTTTCATGATTGCCTTTTCTTTGGGTCCCAAGATGGCTGATGAGGCCAATCCAGGAGCAATAGACTCTGCTGCAACTCAGACATGTGTTTCTGTGTAGGGTAGGTGGTTCTGGAGTCTTCATTTGATCTGAGACATGCTGCTTCTGCTGCTCCTACTTTTCCATCTCTTGCTGTCATCATAACATTTCAAAGTGCTGAGACCTTTGCAGCAAACTCTTCCTCCATTTGCAGGGGTCCTGGGTGATAGTCTCCATTAGTTGATGTTGATATTACTTTTTTTTCAAGTTGGCCTTGGGGACATCCTTGAAACGCTTTCTCTACCCTCCTTTTAAGTGTATGTTGTGACTGAGCTGGGAGAATAAAACTTGCTTCAGAAGTTTGGAGTCAGATATCTGGATGATGTGGTTAGCCCAGTGAAGTTGATGTCAGATGACATCATCTGACATCTATTTCAAAAGCGTATTATCTTTCTGGGCAACTACAAACAAATAGAAAGAATAAACATAACATTTTAAAGTACAGCTCCTAGACAGATCCTTAAAATGCTGCACCTCATTTTATATATACATATATCCAAGGACATAGTTTCCAATTTTCATCTAATCTTTGGGGGTATTTTTTCTTGGTCATAACTACAGTCTACATAAAATCTGTTGCAAATGCATATACAAAACAGAGTTTTCACTATTCTTGCATTTCTGTTTGGACTAAGGTCAGGATAATTGACATATTAGATTGTTTGTTCCCCCATATTCTATATTATTCATTATACTATACCCTTCTAGCTCCTTAAAGAAAACAGTATGAAGATAAAACTAGTACAGGAGACAACCTCATTTTCTGTTTTTTATTTATTACATTTTTATAGTAAATACATCCCCACATTTTCTGCAAAGATTAAATCAAATCCCAGTAGGCCCTGTTGGCAGTAGGATTTTAAAAGTGCAAACAAACCAGGGTATTAGTGCAAGGCAACAGCTCCTATTTTAAATATCATGTCTCACAAGAAGACCCTATGCATCTCTCATCACCCTTCATGTGTTGCCTTAACTTTTTGCCATAAATTGACTTATTTACTGTCCAGAAGAAATTAACATTATAGAGGAGAAAAATGAATAGAAGAGTGGTGGTCAATGTTTTTAATAGGCATTCTACAAGTTCAGCCTCAATCCTCTCAGGGTGCTGCTCTGATCCCCACCTCCCAGAGGTATACCTGACAGTTTGCATCATGGGGCACTGGAAAGGAGATACAGGGGCTCGAGCCGTCTGCCACACAAAGGAGAGAAGACATGGCTGCAGGAGAGATGTCATCGCCAAGAGCCAAGTTAACCCTTCCTTAGATTCACAGCCACAACACTTTTATTTGAAAAACAAAGATCCAAAGCCCTGAATTTGGCAGCAGCTGCAGGGACAGGGGAGGATTTTCCTGCCTCTTCATGGTGACTCTGGACACCTCCTTTCACAGCAACATCTGCTCTCACTCCACTCCCTGTGACTGGAGGCTGAAGCATCCCTGCCTTCATCCTGGCATCTCTCTTCAATGCACGTCCAGGGCTTGCATGTCATGCACAGCAGCTGTCCATGTCACTTGTGACTAATGTGCACCAGGCTGGCCACCTCAATATAGAAATAAAAGGGGGACATGTAAACAGGCTGATAAATTTCCAAGAAAACCTTTTCAGCATTTCATTAAAATAAATGAATAAATATCATTTTCATTATGAGGAATAAAATTCTGTTACCACTACTTTGCTAATCCAGAATCTAGCCATCAAGCAGTTTGTTGTTAGATTTTTTGGATATGCTCATATCAGAAACACAAAGCAAAAACACACATGCACGTATTATGCAAAGTGATGTTTGAAAAGTGATTAC